AGTTCTGATTACCAAGCCATCGAGCCTTGGTCAAATGGGTACTGTCTGCAAGTTTGGGTGTTCTTTGCATCTCCCCTCACTTCATATCAGTTGGATGCTTCACTCTCAGTTCTAGCCCTCTGTGGCTATGTCCTTGTCCATAGATTGAGGTGCCCCCAGGTCTCACCACACTTTGAACCAACCAGCCTTTCCTCTTCTCTCTCTCATCTCCATGTCAATGGGAGTCTGTGGAATGTGGTTGAGTGCTATCGGATATTAAGTCCCAAGTTTAGGGGAGATGTAATTTTGGGAGTTACCAGTCTCTGACTAGATATTTAAAGCCATATGACTGACCAAGAATATCAAGGGAATGAGTGTAGGTAGGAAAGACCAACAATCCCCCATACCCTTTAGCCGAGGCTCTCCAATTTAAGAGATTGGAGTGATATGGAGGAACGGAGCAAAAGAGATGAAGACTTAGGAGGAAAATCAACCAGGTTATGTTCTGGAGGACAAATAAAGAAATGGTTTCAAGGACAAGTGTGTGTCATGTCAGATGCTGCCAGTAGTTCATTGAACATGGAGTGGTGCCAAAGAAAGAAAACCTTCCATAGTGTGTCTCTTGGAACCTCTCAACAAAATTATCAGGCTCACTGAGCCAGGATCATGGGGCTGTTGGTATTTCTATGAAATGAAATAAATGTCTGTTTCTGTAAGACAGAACTGGCAGCTACTAAAATGTAGAGAAGTGACTGGCAGACTTTTGCAAATTGTATCAGATAGTCATTCACATACATAGTGGTGGTTATGTGCCGTGGAGTCGGTTCTGATTCATAGCAACCCTGTATAGGGTCTCTGAGGCTGTAAGTCTTCATGGGAGCAGAAAGCCTCATCTTTCTTCGGTGGAACAACTGGTAGTTAGTAGCCTGACTCGTAACCACTATGCTACCAAAGCTCCTGAGCAGAAGGAATAGGCATATATAAAGAATTGTATTTATCCTCTCAGGTATTGTGATCAAATAGCCCCTAGGACCTACACACTGTATATCTTTGCCCTCTATATTGTTTCTGTTTGGAATGTAGACATAATACCAAGAATACCTGCCTGCCATTTATTTGTGGCCTGGAAAGACCAGTGTGAGTTATCATTAGAAAAAGGTTCTGGAAACAAACCGAAGGCATGACATTGCATATGAAACCAGTTTGTCTCTATTGGGTGGGAGTGCTATGTGGTTTGTGGCCAATAAAGACTATGAAGCTAACAACCAGGAAAGAGTAGATAAAAAATGATTACAGCCAAAAAGTAGCTTCTGGAACAGTTTAAAAAGATGAGGATTCTTAAATAAATAGAAACTTGGGGATGGTATAAGTCTAAATATTTGAAATCAGAGAATTGGAGTCCTGGTTGGTACTGTGTGTTAATGTCCTGGACTGTAAGGTCATTCGAACTGACACTTCAGCAGATTCAAGCTCACCATCCACTCCTCGGAAACCCTATACAGGGTTGTTGTGGGTCAGAACCTACTCAACACTTAATGACAACATCAGAGAATTATTCAACAAGTACTAGAAATGAATGGCCTTCCCTGAAGCAATTTAAGAATATTCAGAGTATACCTTAAGTTGGCAGAAATCATGGTATGGCGCTGTTGGATAAGCACAGAACTACAAGGTCAGTGTTTCAAACTCAACAGTTGCTCCTAGGGAACCCT